AGATACTAGAGCAATTCTCTTGTGAAGAGAGGCAGAGGGTGTGGGGTTTGTTCAGCCTGGAGAAGAGGCAGCTTCTGGGGGGTCTCCCAGCATCTACGGGGAGGTTATCCCCAGAAGATGGAGCCAAACTTTTTATAGTGGTGGAGGACATGGGTATAACAAGAAGTTCAGACAGGATAGAAGGGAAGATCTCTTTCACTGTGAGGGCAATTAAGCATTTGAACAAATTACCCAGAGAGACTATGTAGTTTCCACCCTTGGAAACATGGTCCTCAGTCTTTTTTGGCCTGCTGTGGTGGTGTTATTAACTTGCTGACATTCTTGTGGGCTTCATGAAAGCCATTTGTGATCCCCCAAACCTGTCTTCACATTCCTTATCAGAATTATGTTTAAATGCTTTGCCTGGGAGCATTTAAGTTTCTTCCTGTAACAGAGGAAGTAGTACTCACAATCAGAGAAAGGCTGGAGTTGGAAGGGACCTCTAGGGATCATCTGTGCTTTGCCTGGGGGCATTTAAGTTTCTTCCTGTAATCAGAGAAAGGCTGAGGTTGGAAGGGACCTCTAGGGATCATCTAGTCCAACCTCCCTGCTCAAGCAGGGGCCCCTAGAGTACCTACTCCTAAAGTTACATGGCTGTCTTCAGTTGACATCATGAAAAAAGTTACTTATAAAATGTGAACTAACAAATTACTTTCCCTGTCTAATAGGCTATGAAATATTTGTCATATTTGCTGTATCCACTCTGTATTGGAGGTGCAGGTTATTCCTTGCTGAATGTTAAATACAAGAGGTATGGTATTGTAAATCTATCCATAATTCTATGTAGAAGTGAAATAGTTCACACTTTTTTTTCACTGCTGATTAGTTTGAGATGATGGGATGGTTATTTTTGGTTGCTTGATTCATAAATTAGGAACCAGAAAAAAATAGTTTTACAGGATTCACAGGTAGAAAGTCTAGCAGCCTCTCAACAATTAGTAAGCTACAGTCAATTGCACTTCACAGGAGAGCATTTGTATCGATGTTAAATCTACTTTTGTAAAAAATAATTAATTAGTGATAAAACACCTAATCTTAGCAGGGTATTAGCCTTTAATATTACAGCCTGTGTTTCCTTGAAGTATTTTGTAGAAGCATTTTGTAGTTCTAGCTAGAACTTTGCTGCTCAGTTGCAATTGCAAGTTCAATTTCAAATAATGCAACGTGAACGCTGCAATTGCTAGCCTTTCTTACCGGTGCAGACGGAAGGATGGAATTTAACTGCCGTGTGTGACGCTCTTGTTGTTTGGCTAGGGTTGTGCTGCAGTGAACTTTGGGTGGTTTTGTTAGATTTAACTAGGAGAAGAGGTGAATTTCTTCTATCTGCTCTTTAAAAGCAGTGTGTATACTACAGTGGTTGATACAGAATGGTATTTGTCTTAAATCTGATAAGCCTTTGCAATGCCATGTTGAGTCTCACTAATATTTAGAAATACAGTGATGCCCTTTGGAGACATTAATGTGAACAGTGTGCAGTACATGCTGATGTAGTTCGGATAGAGAAGTCTTGGAATATGCTGGAAAAATATATGGAAGCCCTCAAAGATCTCCAAACTCAACTTGTTGGATGCCACTGATAAATGTCCATTGCTTAAACTATTAGGAGCTTTTTTTGGAGTCCTTTGTAATGAAAAGAAGGTGTGAATGCTTTACAGAAGAACTAAACACCTCACAAAATAGCCAGTTTGTTTGAGTAGTCAGGCAGCCCTTGGCAGCCTCTGCCCCTGGGGTGGGTGTTTTGTGGGTATGTTTGACTGAGGTGGAAAAGGCTGTCTTTTGTTTACTTGCAGCTGGTACTCCTGGCTGATTAACAGCTTTGTCAATGGTGAGTACCCTCTTTTTCTCTTCTTTTCATACATCTTCAAACTAAGGCCAAGACCTGAAAGTAGAAAACTAACTGGCATCAGCTGGAACTATCAGATATAGGATAATTATTTGACCATGGTTTCCAAAACTACCACGGTAATTTAGAAAAGTAAGTGAGGCAAAAAGAATTGGATGCATTTCTGTCTTCAGGAAGAAAAATATAGGTCTCTAATTGAAAGTATAGTTGTCTGGTGTATGTCTGTTGTGCATTTACATCTAAACCATTCATATTTTATCTTCAGGGGTGTATGCTTTTGGGTTCCTATTTATGCTGCCCCAGCTGTTTGTAAACTACAAGGTAAGATTTAAGTGATAAAAGACAACTTTTCTAATCTCTTCTTGGAGACTTTATTACAGCTTGACATATATCGTTTTTTTAATCCTAGATGAAATCTGTTGCACACTTACCATGGAAAGCTTTCACATATAAAGTAAGTAAAGCTGTACCTTTTCTAAAGACTTGTGCTGTTATTGCAGAAATAGCTTTTCCTTGAGAAATACGTTAGTAATACCTACCTTAAGGCTGGCTTCATTTTTAAGAACTAAGCCGCCAAAAAAACAGAAAATTAAAAAAAAAAAAAAGGCAGCAATCAATTCCTATTTTTCATAGTAGCTTACATAAAATGAGAATAATTGCATCCCAATTTTGATGAAAATACTAGCTTTTTTTTTTTCATATGCTGCATAGGTATAAATGTTAGTCCTTCCAAGTTACTTTTTTTCCAGTCTCAATTTAGTATATTATTTTAGCAAATGAAAGGTTTATTACTGAAATAGAAATTAAGAAATAGATAAGGCTGCCAGAAAAACTTATTTTGACAGGTTCTGGGAGTAACCAGAGCTTGAAGTCATGCACACCTTGTGTTGTCCTGACGCAGTGATTCTAAACTTGTGGGAATTGTATAGTGGCTAAGGTATAGTGGGCTGTTGCATGGTGAAAAAGGGTTTGCACTGTGTTTACCCTTGGAGGAAGACAATGCACCAAAGAGGCAAAGCCTAGCAGCGAACTTTAGAAGACAAGAAAATTTGTTCGTTTTGGAATAAAATAAGTTTGCTATCCATGTCATGTCTGTGCTCCCACCACCATTCACACGTGTGTTCAAATTCAGGCAGCAAAATGGGTGCATCCGAACAGCCTAGCCAGGATTCCTTGGGACCATGCAGAGAACAACAGACATCCACATGAGTTCCCACTCTTCTAATTCCTCCTAAATTGGGATGTGTTGTTTTCTTGACCTTTTAAGAGCTTGTAGGGTTTGGTCTCCATCTTGTGGCAGCTCCATGAGGTATTGGGGTTGTTTGCACTGCCCTTTTTGTTAATTGTGTCCTGAGAAGCTGCACTTACTTGTGCTGGGTTCTTCATAACATACTAATCTAGGTGCCATCAGCATACCCGTATTTGTGTGCTGCCACATGTGAGTATGTTAAATCATTCTCCCTTCACACCAGCACATCAATGTTCTTTGTAACAGAGTGCTTTAAAAACTGTTGAAAGCTTCTAAACACATGCTGTGTACTTTCAAACTGATAATCTGGGACACAGGAGCTGAAATTTTAAAATTGAGCCTTACATGGCCCTTATATTTCTGTGATATAGCCATAATTTCTGCCTGTTGTAATTAATCAGAACTTTCCAATATCCCAAAGTTCTCCATATTTCATCACATTTTTTTCCCAAGTGTGAGTCCTCCTCTACCTAGAAAATGCCTCAATTTCCCCACTTTTTAAGGTAGAGATATTTATGTAGTTGAGTAAGACTAAGTGCTCACCAATAATGAAAGAAGAAGCCAGGTTAATGCCTAACCCTCCCTGTAGATTAGGATTCAATCCACAACCTCTTTAATGTCAAAATACTGTCATCCATGCACAGCTCAGAGCCTGTTTGTATTGCTTTCCCAGCAGCTGTCTAGTAATTTAAACCTTCTCATTCAAAAAAGTAGTCAGCAAGTATTTTGCTATTGATTCAAAAAAACATGCCTAGTTTAATGGTTATATATAAAAAAAAAAAAAAGAAAATGATATATGGCTGCCAAGTTAATGCTTTTAATATTAAATGAATAATTATTTACAAATCACTTTATTTTCCCTCAGAAAATAAAAGTAAACAACGGTATTTTGTGAATCTTGAATACTTTGAGTAATGAGAGGCTATAATATTTCATTCCTTTATTTTAAAGATTTCAATGAAGTTACTGATACATGGTTCTTTCTTTTTTTTTTCTTTTGTAAATAACAATAGTTGTTTTGCCTCAAGCAGTCCTGCTTCCTTTTTACTTCTAAATTGGACTGTGTCTGCACATTGTCTGTAGTTGTGTGGTTTAAAGTAGACAGCAGTTTTCATGAAAGGAAGGCACTTTGAAGTTTGCATTGAATAGTTTCTCAGCCTAACTCCTGAGCATTGCTATAGATACGTGATCTGTCCATCTACTGAAAAATGCTGTTCTGAAAAGCCTCTTTCCTGCAGCTTTGTATGACAAGTTACTTCCTTTCTTTATACCCAGCTGAAATATGCATTTCTTTTTTAGGCATTCAACACCTTTATTGATGATATCTTTGCTTTCATCATCACTATGCCAACATCTCATAGGCTGGCATGCTTTAGAGATGATGTCGTGTTCCTGGTCTATCTTTACCAAAGATGGTATGCTTTTCTTGATTATCAATAGGCATTTTTTAAAGCACTTTAAATGCTTGCAGTCTTACTGCTGTAAGGAATTACAGAAAAACTTGGGATAGATCTTAAAAAGATTTTGATTTTTTTTTTTTAAATACTGTATTGACATTTATAGTATGGTCCGGTTAATGGTACGTGTATTCCTGGATCCTCCTTGGTATGCTAAGAGAGTAGTCAAGTAATTAAACTCCTTCTCACAGCATCTACAGAGTTCTTGCCACTTTTCCCTTCTCCATCCCCAATCAAGGCTCCTCCTTTACAATGGGTGAAGGTTTACATTTGCAAATTTCAAAAATAAAAGGAAAAAACTTGAAAGACAAAGACTTGAAGTAAGAGCAATTCTTAGGCTTGTATTCACACCTCCCACATAGGAGTTTTGGGCTTCTAATCCTTGCCAAGGGGCTGCCTGTCTATATACAGCTGAAGCACACTACTCCATATAGTAGCCATTAAAATATGAGGCATAAGTTAAGCTAAATAAGAGGTGTTATTGTTTTCAGCAATAAATATTTATCTGTGAACAGGAATTTTAAGCCAGCTTCACATTGCACCAGATTGCGTGGATGTTTCCCTCTAACTAATCATTAAGTCTAAATGAGAACTTGAGCTTTAGCTTTATATAATTCCCCATAAAACAGACCCTTTCCAGGGTCCTGTTCTGGAAATTAAGAGCCCCGCAACTTCTGGCAGGGGCTTGGCACTGGGAGAAGCATCCGGGACTGCCTGGGAAATATCCATGGCAAGCTTTAGGGGAACTCTAGCATGCTTTGAGAGGACCTATGAGACAACTGCTTAAGTCTTAATATGGAAAAGCCGATACATCTGTAACTAATCTTTTAGACTGCTAGGTTTTTAGGCCACAAATGGGAATAGAGAATATGATGAGAAAGAAATTGACTTGTAAAATAAACCAGGATGACACAGAATTTCAGTTTGAAAATCAAGTAGCACAGAGCTGCTTGAATCTCATTATTTCATGTAAGTAATCTCTCTTTTTTTATTTTTTATTATTATTTTTTTTCCTCTTCTCTCCTGCCAGGCTTTATCCTGTGGATAAGAGCAGAGTGAATGAGTATGGAGAATCCTATGAAGAAAGGCCAAAAAAGAAAGTTCATAGAGAATAATTAAGAATTGAAGAAGCTTCTGACCCTCGGACTCTTACTGGTTACCTGTATTATCTGGTCTTAAGGAAAAACTTATTTAATAAGAGTATTTTTAAAGCTTATGAAAGAACTACATGGACAATACATCTTCTATATTGCCAAAATCTAGTTTTGATATCCTCCTCTTTCAGGATTCTTTTTTGTCCTCGTGAGGTCAACAGTCTGCCAGATGTCATTCAATATCCTGCACTTACACTTCTCTTCAGCGAAAAACTTAGTGTCCTCATCATTGTAACTTATGTTTAAATCAATGTTATTAAGACAACTCTGTAACTGTGTGGTGCCTGTGTCACTGGGCTATGAACAGTGAAAAATAGCCCAGTGTGTTACAGCAGAATGAAGCATCACTGCCAAACTGGAGGCTGTGAAAATTGAAATGTAGAGTTATTGGATTATGCATTAACCACAAGTTGATAATGGAAATTCAGAAATCATGGTTAAAATTGTACGTTAACCTAAGTTCATAGCTTAAAATAATTTTTATTGGAAATAGTGAGACAGATGGGTCTGGTAAAATTCAAATAATGGGCATATTCTTAGCCCACATCTTGGCAGAGGATTTGTTTTCTTAAACTGAATTAGGATGTGGCGGGGGGAAGTAACATGATTTCTTTTAATATATATCTAAGTTTACATAAATCATTCGGTTTAAAAAAAATCCAGTATCATGTGATAGCAGGTGTTCATGTAGCACATCATTGTAATGTGCTAAGAATGTCTTAACACATCTTGAATTCTTCATAATATGGTTGTTACCTGATGACCCAATAGCCCAGTTTTCTCACCTTTCAAAGGGAACAATGGAACAGTTCCTTGGTCTCTTTCTTCTCCCTCCCACCCCAGTTCTGCTTATAAAATAGAACGTGTATCATTCAAGTGGAATTACTTTGCTTAAATACAATATGGACTCAACAAATTACCTAGAAGCAGGGTGAAAAATAACCAGCCTGTTTCAGAACAGGCAGAATTGATTTGTAAACATTCTGAAATCTATATTCCACGGGACAGTTTATGAAGGTGGCTATGTTGATCTGGTTTTCACTATCAGGTTATCAAAAATAAACAGGTTGAAATTGAATTGTTATACCAAAATTCAAACTGCACAAGTGAATATAAAAACTCTAGCTCAATATTTCGTAGTGACAGTAAAAAAAATATAGAGCACATGACTTTTAGCATGCTTAATTCCAAAAACTAGAATTGGATGACTAATTCTAATGTCTCTTTGGTCAGTGACTTTACATGGATTAACCCTGATTATTAAGTTTCTTTCCAAATGGCTGCCAACCAAAAGGTTTTCATTCAGTTGCATCCTGTTTGTGCAAAGATGTTTAACTTCAACATGCTATTGATTTGAAACATAAATAACTTCACAGAGCAAAGATCTACTACTGTGATTTGTTCCTACTTTATGAACTACACTTTATCAAGGCCTAATGTTGCAGAAGCCTAAAGGCATAAATGCTTGGATCCTCAGAAAATACAGGCTAGTGTCAAACTTCTTTTGTCATGGACTACAGTCTTTTTTTTTACTCAAGTGTTTATATGCTGCTGATGGTGTAAAGGAGTCTTGAGTTGGATATTTAACCCATTTTCATTTTAAGCTCTTAACATTGTTAGTTGTAAATAATGAGGACCGTAGATCTGTTGATTTTTATCATTAGACATGTTCAGATATACAGAAAAATGAGGTTATTTGCTATACCATGTACCTGTTTTGGATTTGTTTATAAGGAGCTCCTAGCTGTGAGGCAAATTAATTTGGGACTTTTATTTCATAATAGTAGTTCAGTGTTTATAAAATTTTATCCTGGTATCAATAATACAAAAAGCCTTGCATTCCTTTTTGTGCCATTTCAAAATAATCAAGTCACTGATTCTTTCAGAGTGTCTTCCGAAAGTCCAGAATACCGTATTCAGGTATTTAAAACATTTTAGCATTCAGTTTTGTATGTATCTTGTTGAAAAATCACTGTTGCACCTTTACATACTGTGAGTTTCTTGCTCTTCTGTGTCTCATTTCTGATGATAATAACCTCACAATATCCCATATAGTCATAAAAAATACAAAATTAGAGCATTTGAAGTCTTTATAATGAACTAGACTTTCCTGTTCAATTCACTGTTTTATGCATTCCACTTCCAAATAAAATACTTGCATATGGGACCGTTATTTTTTGTTGTTGGAAAGATGAACTATTTAGTATAACATCACAAATATTAAATATTTCAACTTTCTGGTTGTGAAAATAGATGACTTAAAACAAAAATATGGTTCTATACATGATTAATATTAAAAGTTTGAATTTTTTTCTTCTAGATCTAGAATTTTTAGAATATTGCAGCTCATGCTTGATGATCAGTATCCAGTCTACTTAAGCCTTCAAGAATAATTTAGCCTCCTCCCTTCTGTTAGGATTAACTGTGGTAAACGAGCAGGTGACCATCTCCTATTCTTACCATCAGAGCTGTAATGGGTTTGGAAGCTGTGTACAAATTACAGTGACTTGTGTGTCTGTGTGTGTGCGCTAGGCTTGATTTGGAAAAGGGTTGCATCCTTTGCAAGATATTGCTGCACAATCCTTAGTACATTATAATGTGCTAGCCAGGATCATCTAAGAATGTAAGTGAAGAAAGGCAGTTTCCTGGAGCCACTTTCTGTAGATGGATGTGGCCTATGCCTCAGAGCTCTGCCCTGTAGTCTTTGCCTTCCTCCATGCTCACATTCACACCCACGACCCTTTCAGTGTGTTATTGAGACAGTATTTTCCATTTCCATGGCATGCAATTTCCTGGTCTTTTTCACCTCTTAAAGGCTGTCTTCTCCAGAAGATGGTCTTCTGCCCTGTGTGGCTCTTCTTCTTTGAGGCCAGAATGTCTGAGTGGATTACAGTCTCCAACTGCTTTCTCTTGCACAAGGGAGAGCTTTAGCCTTGTACTCTGCAAGGATTAATAGTTTTTCCTGGTGGCTATTCCTGTGTGATGCTCCTGGGAACTGTGATTGCTCCTCTCTTTTCATCCTTTTGTATTGAATAACACTGCTCCTTGTAGAGTCTACTCACCAGTTTGCTCCAGATTTTTCTTTTTGCAAGTGTATTTATTGCTCTTCCCTTTCGTATCCTGTGCCCACCCCACCCAGAAATCTGATTTGTTTTTTTCATCCTCATCTCTCATCCCAGTGCATATAGCTTCAGCAAAAGGGAGCAAAATACTTTGTCTTTTAAACTAAAACAGATCGATGCAGGGAAAGTCTGGCATACTTTATCTGCCTAAGCTCAGTTAATAAAACTCTAGGACAGAATATCTTCTTCCCTATTTTCCACAGCTTACACACTGTGCAATCACATAGTAAAAGATAACCCAGTAATATGTAAATCCTGCAGTAGAGTAGATTTATATGCTGCCTGATGCACGATTGTAAGCACCTCTGGCTCTAAAATAGAGGCCAAGGGCCGGAGACCACCAGACAGACCACACCAGGGCTACAGAGAGTTGTGCACCAAAGGAAATGAGTTTGTGTAAGACATGTATCAGTCTCACTTAAATGAACACAGCTTGTCAATACAGTGTCACCTTTAGGAAGGTAGCAGTTCAGCAGCACCCTGGTCCTCCTCTTCAGTCACACTGAGGTTGCTTGGAATAGCAAGGAAGAGCCTACCTCAGGATGAGCAATGCATGTGGCCTTCTGCCATGGTTCTCTGTCAGCCTTAAGGGGTGAAAAGCATCACCGAACCTTGATTAAACAGAATTGAACAGGGAAAAAAAAAATAAAGTTTGGTAGGCAAAACGCATGGCTCATACAATGCAGCTAGTGACTGAGAAGAGGGAATATAGGAGAGGGAAGTGCCCAACAGCTGTTCTAAGGAGCAACAGGCAAGCAGGGAGAAGCTGCATGAAGCAGAGAGGCAGGGGTTGCTGTGAGAGCAGACATGTCTTCCAGGAACCATCACACACCCTGTTAGAGACAGACAGCAGCCTAGAAAGTGCAGTTACAAAGCAGGGAGGAGACCGCTGCAGCTCTCCACGAACATCCCCAGTTTGGGGGATTGGTATGGAAACACATGAGAGGGGCCCGACCAGTCTGTGACAGTAACTACAGTGCTTGGAGGGGCCTGTTCCCCTCCACCCTTTGCCCCACTGCAAGCAAAGTCCCATCATATAGGAGAAAAAAGTGACATTTCCAGTTGCCAAGACCACATAAAAGCAGCCAAGGCTGAAGATGGTGCCTAGCAAAGAGCAGAGCAGGTTGCTGTCACAGCAGGTACCGCTCCATAACAGACTATAGCTACAGCAGAGGATGGGGGCCCTAAAATGGGTACTCACGTTGAGTAGCTGGTTAAACGGGAGGAATGGCCTTGATTAATAGTGTGGGATTGTACAAGTCTAGTTTAAACAGCAGCGTCAGTTTGGGGATAATATCACCTGATCATGGTGATTTACTAATTGCCTTTTTTTCTCTCTCATTATTCAACAACATCATCTGTAGTACTTCAGCTTCAGATAAATCAACCAAGGTTTTGACACAGGATCCTCCTCAAGTTCATCCTGTAAATTCCTCACTATTGCCAAGTGTTCCCTCCATACTGTAATGTAAAATTTACTATTTGCATTATAGACTTCCTGGCAGGTTTCCTATTTCTGATGTTTGAAAAAGCGTAGTTTTTTCTAGCTGAAAGTTGTTCATCAAAGGTCTCTGACTGCTTTGTTTTGTTTTTTCTTTTTTGATTTAATATAACTTCAAGTTCCTGAAAGACTCCTTAGTAACAGCTTCACTTCTCATGAGAGATTCATTTTTGGCCTTTTCAGAAGGAACTCTAGAAAAAGATATGCACTGACAGTACACCTGTAAAGATGTGTCTTTAAATAGTCACTACTGAAGCTTGACCTAATATAAAAACAACTGTGTCAAATCAACTAAATGTTGGGACAAGTACATCTTACATGCTCTAAGTATAACATCTTATTTACTCTCACTTCACTCTCAGACTGTAAACACTCAGATTGTAAAGCATTTTATTTTTATCACTACACTATAATCACCTGCTCCCGAGGTAACTTTCTTTCACAAAAGCTGGTGATGGAGCAAGATGTGAATTAGTTCTCCCCTGAAGAACAAATTTGCTGAGGAGAACTGTGACTTCGTTTTTCGTTCTGGTCTGGGCTCCCCAGCACAAGAATGACACAGAGACATGGCGCAAGTCCAACCAAGGGCCCGTAAACCCAGTAAGGGG